ACGACTTATATCACGAGATGCCTTATCTCGATATTTGTTTTGTATGCTCATTGATTGCTTATGGTTTATGCAGCAGTTTTGAACGTAAGGATGCTACACCGGTTTTCTCCGTCAATCTTACATTTCAAGAGATCAGGTCATACGAAACGCACATTGGTTGTTTCGAGATTCAACGAGAATTTTGGCACCCTCTCGTACGATCGTGGAACTTTTGGATCTCAAGAGTTTGTTGGAGACGATTTATGTTTCTACGGTTGCATACATGAAGAACAAGTGGTCTTCTTTCATTCTGGCACGCCAACGATCACGGACGCTGAAAACAATACCATGATACAACTAACGATTCAGATGGTGTGAATCATCCAATGACCGATTGAGGATAAGTCATTATGGTTCCCATGCTGACCTTTGATGCAACGAATCTGGTTGATGTTCGACTGACGCAAAACAATCCACACTGACCGGCCGTCAACTCCGGTTATCTTCAGTAGCCATCCCCGTATCAGCCTAAGGGAAGAAGCAACAGCCCTTGCTTGTAGGTACACCTTTAGCTTTCCCGAACACCGCTCCCCTCCCATCTTTATTATAAATTATATCATTCAATTTGACTTCAACTACCTTCCCTTCACCTGTGTATCTCCGGCTCCCCACACCTTCCTCTCCGTACTAGCTTACTCGTTTTTTCTCATCTTACCCTATTTTTGCATGCGTGCGGGTTCTCTACTGTTTGCTGGAGGGGTACTCAGACCTCCTGGTTAACCTGTGGCTGATCAGCTGGTGCTGCTTTCATCGACAGCAAACCGGATTGGCGTCCCTGCTCCGCGGCCGTAACTCTACACCACCAAGGACCGATCAACTCACTGTCGGAGCGCTACAAGACACACCTGGCCCGTAGACTACCATACTGACTCAAGCCGCAAGTCCTGTCCTGTCCTGAGAGGCGAGGGAAGAAACGTACATGTAGAATAAGAGAAAGTTTGTTTCAATACAGAGCTCCCGATTCAGAAGGCTAGAGAGAGCCTTCAATAATGGTTCAGCAAAAATCAACGTTCCAAATAGTTCCGGTTGATGTGGAAGGGAATGTCGGTCCAGAGGAGAAACGTGGGGAAATGGAAATGCCATGGAAAAGCGTCCACAGGGCAACTAACCATTCGGATGGTGTGAATCTTGTCTTCCACTCCTTACCCTACACGCTTTTCCATCTTGAACCTGCGTAGCGACCAGGATTGTACGAAGAAAAGGAGCAATCCACGAGGACGTTTTCCGTTCATATTTTCTTCACAATCAACTCTGACTCCAACTGTGATACTTCATTGTTTTACTTCTGTTTGTTTTACCGAGCATGGTTTTCCGCTCAGGCGTATATATAAGCTGGGTCCTGTTCAAACCCACGCAACACGTGTGACACGCTTTCGCCTTGCTACTGCATTTATTGCTTGCACCGTTTAGCGTCACTTTGGCACGTTTCGGTACTATCTAGTACCACGATTCGCCAAAAGACGTTTACGACTCCCACGAGTGTTTATGTCTACCTCGGGCAACGAGACAGTGGGAGGTCGCACGCACTTTGAGACTCGTAAAGAGACTTACGGGCATTCCGTCAACACCGGTTTGCTTCACGTGTTCTTCTTGAAACCCGCGGGATATGAGGTGACATCTTCCTATTGTACAATCTAGTACGGACAATCTTCGTGGGCATAGCATATAACTCTTCAAACCGCGTGCCCATATCTCACACAGGGCCATTCCTCTTTGGAATAGCTACCTCGATGAAGTGTTTAATGCTTCCACGAGATCCGCTTTTAAAAGGAACCTAGACCGGTACCTTGGTCTAATCCCTGAACGGTAAATATCTCCTCGCCTCAAAATGTTTTCATAGCGTGTTCAGTATTTTTTCCTTTAATTTCCGCATTCTCGCACTGCAAGCAGATACTGCACCCCTCTCTCCTCCTATTACCTTATATCAGGTAACCTTCTTGTACAAGCAGAACGGGCACTCACTCTTACTTTCCAACATCCACGGCAGTGAAGCCTTGATCTTACCCGGCTCACCGGGGCACGGAACCAGGAGAATTCTTGGAAAATACTAAGATCCGAGACCATTGGGACTAGCCTCTCACCCGTGTAATACTTCAAAACTTGAAGACAAGGCTTCTCAGAAGCATCTGGGTTGGGAACACCCGAACGGGGCTGAAACAACTTATTTCACCATCGTAAATGAAACGCCACGGATGATCTCTAATAATAATTGACATGACAAAACAGTCAAAATACGCTAACCAAGGTTTTAGGAGGCCACAAACATTTCGCCAAAAACATGACAGTCTGGACACTGGATTGGTCGAAATCTACATATCGTAATGTAAGCTACACCTAGCGCCGAGATCCCTTTTTTCGGAATTATGCTAATAATAACTCACCCTGACCCTCAAGAAACAGAGGCTGCGCCAGCCTTCTTGCCGTTTTCTAATTCCAGATAACTCCGTAATGGTAAAACCGGTAACAGTGCGAACTCGTAGGCGAGTCAGTCCCAGGACATATCATGCCACTACTAGGATACCTCACAGGCGGAGGCCTTCTCACACCTTGAAATTTGACATTTGAAATTCGATTAAAAGTGAGCTTAATTTGTTTTGCTTGACGTTTGACCCTGAGGTCCCACGCACAGGGGTTTAAACTTCGAGTCGGTTCGCGCCTTCCCGTGAAGTGCTCCGCTTCCTAAATACACCTTCAGAAATGAGCGATCAACCTCCAGTCGCTATTTTCAAGCTGGTTCTGGTTGGTGATGGTGGCACCGGGAAAACAACGTTCGTAAAACGTCACATCACAGGTGAATTTGAGAAGAAATACGTCGGTAAGCTTCACTGGATTTGTCTGTATCGTCCTAGCCACACTGGGTGTTGAGGTTCATCCGTTGGATTTCCACACTACTCGTGGAAAGATACGGTTTAACGTTTGGGACACTGCTGGACAGGAGAAGTTTGGTGGCTTGCGTGACGGATACTATATACAAGGGCAATGCGCGATCATCATGTTCGATGTAACCAGTCGAGTGACATACAAAAATGTTCCGAACTGGCACAGAGATCTTGTTCGTGTATGCGAAAATATCCCCATCGTGCTTTGTGGCAACAAGGTAGATATTCAGGATCGAAAAGTAAAGGCCAAGTCGATAACTTTCCACCGAAAGAAAAATCTCCAAGTATGTCACTGGATATTCTTATGCATCTTGTCAGTACTACGACATATCAGCCAAGTCGAATTATAACTTCGAAAAGCCGTTCCTATGGCTCGCCAGAAAGCTTGTTGGAGATCCTAACTTGGAGTTTGTAGAGATGCCCGCCATGCAGCCCCCTGAACTCACGATGGACGCCAATCTGGCGAAGCAGTATGAAGAAGAAATACAGGTAAGTCATTCGATTCAGTTCGTCGCGTAACTTACAGATGGCCGCTGAGGCCCCATTGCCGGATGAAAATGAAGATGATTTCTGATGTGTATGCGTCACGTTATCTCGTTCCGTCGACTTTTTTATGTGGAGACCCAATCAATGTCCTTAAATGGAGAGATAAATATACCAGATTAAAGATAACCCTGTGATTCTTGCGCTGTCATCCGTACTTCGGGGATGTTGCAGTAAGGAGTTCGACCTCCAGATGTGTCCCTTCAGCTGCTACCCTGCGAAGAACCAGTTTTACTAATATCGACTGCGGTCATAGACAATCATCTTGGATGTCGCAAATGTATTTGTTCTGGTGATTCGCTACTCGTTTATTCCGTACTCGGATATCCAGCTGTTAACGAGAATCGGCAGGGCGGGCATACCCTCAAAGGGAGGGGTCCAATCGAGCTATGCGACAGCAATGAACCATTAAGTAATCTTCAAATTTTTCTCAGGTTTGCGTTGACACTCTGTGCTCGTGAGTTTCTGGGGCATGTAATTCCGCAAATTTGTCCTTTCCTAATGTCCCCGAAATCGTTCATAGTTGTCTCCGAGAGAAAATCGGTGATGAAAGTCCTTTTGGTTGTGTAGATGAATTTATTTGACTGTATGCATAGCAGTTCACGAGGTTGAAAAAGCTGACTGGCTGTTATTTTGGAAATTGTCACGTAGCGCTTCATTTGTGAGGCAAATGTTATACTGTCGCGCAAGTATGTCGTTCATTTTATTGAGTCTTTGTGAACCTCGGTTGTTCGAACGAACCCGACGTTTCTTACGTAGTTTTCCAATGATTCGGGTGGATAGTTGTTTGCCCCAGGTCTCGTGTAGATCGACATCTCATGTCTACGTATGATTACTGATGGTTTTCCTGATCTTCCATTTGTGGTGCCATCGAAAGCTGAAGTGTAGTATTCCAGTTAAAACAATGTAATGAATGTTCTTATCGGTATACCTGCGGTGTTACCAACCGAAGGCTCCTGATTCCGTAGGTTAATTTCCAAGGAGAGATCTTTCCATTCAATATATGTATATAAATATACATATATACTTTATCTATCGATGAATTTGGGGAGAGATGCTTTTCCCTTAGGCCTCTTTTCCCTGTCTTTTAATCGCACAGCGGTCTTCGCATCGTACCACGGTACTTTCCTTCGCCTTGTTTGAAGCGAATCTCCCAAGACATTCTGGTTTTTGACTCATCCGATTTCTCAGTGGAAAACGGTATTCGTCAGCTATCCTTTCCTCTTCCCTTTCGCACAGACCAAGACAAAATGTTTCAATGAGTCCCGTAGTTAGTTGAAGTTAGTTTATTTGGTACAAGTTCGAGGCTGCCCTGTTTTCTGGTACGTATTAATTTTA